AACAATTAAAAACTTGTTTCTAAATTGGTTAAAAAAAAAAATATATTGTCCTACGAATAATATTTGAAGAGGGGGTTTCATTTGTCTCTGTCTTTGTTTCTCTGTCATTTGAATATTTTAATACTTGTTCCTAAATTGGTTAAAAAAAAAAATATATATATATTGTTCTACGAATAATATTTGAAAAGGGGGTTTCATTTGTTCCTGTCTCTGTCTCTGTTATTTGAATATTTTAATTAATTGTAAATTTTTGTTATAGGTCTGATAAAATTATTATTTGTTGTTGTAATCTAAATTACAAATCGATTTATTATAAGTTTATACAAAATTACGAAAATTTTCGAAATGACGTGTTTCTTACCCCCAAAAACTACGACACCTGTGGAGGTGCCAACACCAACACAGGTATCTAGAAATTTTCATATACCGATATTCAAACGAGTTACTGTTGTTAATTCGGTGTCCGTTGTATTTCTTCCGGCTCCATTAAAGATTATTCCGAAATCTTGATAAGAAGAAGAAGAAGAAAACAAAAAATACTCAACAATTTTATCTTCCATTTCTTTGTTTAATTAATCAATCAAGGATTTATCATTAACCCTCTGATTCGATAAAAAAAATATGTATACGTGTATGATGCGTGTGCGTGTTGTGTGTGTGTTTGTTTAAGAATAATTTTGAAAAAATTGAATTATTTTTATCTTTTTTAAAAATGTCAAAAATAAAAGAAAACATTTAATAAAAATTATAAAAATTATATGAGGGTTAATGAAATGAAAAAAAATTATATTAAATATATAATTAACACACAAATATAATTTCAAAATGACAAATATCATCTCTAAGTTTGTATTTTTTTTCTTTCTATTATATATATATATATATATATATATATATATATATATATATATTACATTTAAGACAACACAACGATAAAAGTAATACTTTGTATGAATTATTTTGATATGAAAATACAATGATTTGTGTTTATCCCCATTGAATTACAATTATTTGCAACTTTTGATTCATCCCGTTAGATTTAATTATAACAAAATAACAATGCGGAAGTTGAATATAGTGAATTTTATTTTAAATCTCACGTGATTGTAACAATAGTTACGAAGGACGATTAAGTTGGCTTACTCATCACTATAAACAATTCATTATACAAACAATATTCATACTATTCTAAATATAAAGACTTAGATTAATAAAAAGAAAAAAATATGTTTTTTATATACCCTAAAATAATCGAACAATAAAAAATAAAATAAAATAATATTTCAAGATAAGATGACCAATCGTATTGAACAAATTTGTTTTCCTATTTTCCTAATAAATTATTTCAAAATAGCAATAAGATAATATTTATTAATAATATTATAATTCTACCAGTATAATTTAAAAAAAAAAAAGAAAAAAGAAAAACAAGTGATTTATGAATCTCTTGAGATAAAAATCAGATATAATTGTAGGTGAGATATTTCGATCTAAAGTTTAATGGTTATATAGTAAGCTTGTTAAGGAACAGGTTGATGCACCTCGTCCTCGTCTGAAAATATCACAAACGTGTCCTCATTACGACAATTTTGTCGGAGGTTGTTGGTTGGTTGGCTCATCGTTGAACTAGATGAGAAGAACAACATTCTCAACGCTTGGCTAACTAAAAAAGATTAACGTTTAAGATAACTTAACTTTTACTCTTCAAATTATTATTAGTTTTATTTACATTTTTTATTTCTAATTTTATTTCTAATTTTAATTTTGACCATCAATTCCTAATAAATATTTCATGCAACTCGACATTACAAAAATGATTTCCTTATGATAATAATAATAATAATAAATATTTTTATTTTTAATAAGAAAAAAAACAAAGATATTCAAACGTCATTCTAATGGTGGCATTGGATTCAAATGGGAGTACTAATTAATCGTCAAAGAAGTCTTTTAAATTTACCATAGAAACACACAGAGACCACACACACACCATGATGAGATTTCATACGGTAATTGGGCTAACTAGCGATATGCAATGTGCAGTGTTTTGAACGAAACAATGACTGCATTATGACACGGTTTAGAATATATTCCTTGTTTTTCTTTTCTTTTCTTTAAAAAAAAGAAAAAAAAAAAAAACATTTCCCCTGCGATAAATGTCATTCCGTTATTATAACAAACATTGAAGAAAAGTCCATTGTTCTCGTTCCTTGTTTTTTTTTTTAATTATTTAAAATGATCCTTTATGTTTTCTTTCTTTTTTTTTTTTCAAATGAACGAACACAGATTGTTACTAAGAAACACCCGTTATCTTTAAATGTATTTGTATTTCTAGATGATCTACATCCGTCAGGGGGACCCCCCCCCCTAAACACCCCCACCCCGATTTGAATATTTTATTAGAACGATTCCTTTTTCTTAAATTATGCAATTATCATCCCAGTTGATTGACCCAAATTCTAAATTTATTTTGTTACTTATTCTCAGTAATTATTTCATTCTTAAAAAAATGATCTATTATCTTTTATTTTTGTCTATTAAATTAAATATAAACACGGTTAACATATTATTTTATTTATTATTCTACTTGTATTATTTATATGATTTAATATTATTTTTAATAATTAATATTTTTTTTGATTAAATTTGTAATCTACAATGTGAAAGAAAAAAAAAAAAAGTGATATATTTACATAATCCAAATTGAATATATTAAAAATAAACAAATAATAATAATATGAGACGATAAGTGGAATAAATGAATTGTTAATTGCAATTCGATGATCATGAATGTGTTGGTTTTTAAAGTAGATCTTTGTGTTTGGAATTCAAACGATGCATGTAGAAATGAACTGCAATGATCTTGACCTTGGCTACATAATACTCACACATTATCTTATAAATACGAGTGTAGAAAACTTTTCCGTGTACGAGAGTATAAATATATGCACTTCTTGTTCTAATAAAACTAGAATTTCAATGAAAGAAATATTTACGTTAGTTGAATTATAAATAATAATTAAACCTTTGAAATTTCACAATTAACAAATATTACAAGTTATTATGAATACTTTCAAAAGAATTTTAGGTATCAAAGTCATATAATTATCGTATTCAATCTCAAATTATATTATTATTTAATTATCAATGAAAAATTCAATATTTGCATGCACGAAAAGTATAAAATCAATTATTTAAAATCCCCAATAAATCAAATAAATAAATAATATGAACAAATTTGAATTTATTTAGTATTGAAATAAAAAAAAAAAACAAGAACGATATTACATTTATCGAACGGTCTAATATTTAAAAAAAAAAAAAAAAAGATATTACAATTATACGACAAGTTTATTATTTAAAATATGAACAATTATTCTATTTTGCGTGTGTGTGTGTGTTAACATTTAAAAACAATTGTCAATCGTAATTATAATTAAAAATTGAATTCAATCATAAACAAAGAACAAATTAATCATCCTGTATAAAATATTCCATCAAACTTTTTACCACCAACATATACACACACATATACACACCCCAATAAATATCTGATTATTATTCTTATTATTTAACAAGAAGGTTTAGTGAAAATTAAGAAGAGGAATAAGTTGGTGGCCAATTAACAGTCAATAAATTGACCACATCCTCCAGTCAATTATAAAATCAGCTGACACACAGACACAGACACACACACAATGTATAACCTTTTCTCTTTTTATCTTTCATTAGAAATTCTATCTCTCTTGCACTTAATTGAGCTCGTAACACACAGAACGGCTTTTCAAACGCGAAAATAGAGTCTACGTACAAACAGGGCATTGGTGCGATCATCTTCTGCCCTGTGTGTTCATTCTCTCTCAATGCCCTGTATGCATATAGCATCTATATATATGTGTGTGTATTAATGTATCTGTGTGTACGACGCGTGGCCTGCCAGATCACGGGTTACAAGTTTAGTCTTTGACTGGAGGCATCCGCGTGAACAGTTCTATTCAGTATCATCGTCAAACTATTATTTTATTCCTGTTGTTGTTGTTATTGTTATTGTTATTGTTATTGTTGTTGTTAATTTTTGTTAAAAGATTCTACGTTAATTGAAAGTTTCATTAAAATTGTAATATCTATAACAGGATATTATAATAATAATAATCGATACTATATATATATATATATATAGTACTCAATGATTGTTACGACGTGTGCATCGTAAAAAAAGAAAAAAAAAATATAAAGAAAATAATTAAAACATTTTTAATCTTTGAAAGAATGTAATCGAAAATCTCGTGATTCGATTTCATCGTTGGAATTGACGAGAATAATAATAATAATAATCTCTCATTGTTCTTATTGCGTTCGTTCGATCGAACGTAGAATTGAAATCGAATAAGAGCTTTTTTTTTTTTTTTTTTTTGTAATAAATTTTCTTCCCCAACTTTCGCGTAAGCATAAACTCGATAAATGTTTATATTTGTTTTTTTTTTTACTTTCTAATAATTCGATCTAATGTGTACGATTGTTGATTAATTGGATTCGTTTTTTCGTTTGTTTCATTGCAGTTTCTATCGAATCGGATTAAACACGGACGATTTGGGCAAAGTTTTCGTTGATAAGAATTTCAAAGAACGAACAACGTTTGATTATACGAGATCAAAATATAACAAAAAAAAAAAAAGAGAGAGAAATAATAATGGAAATGAGAAATGAACATTTATTGTTAAAGAGAACTAGAAAGATTGATAATAATCACCATGATGAAGAAGACTTAGGAATAACTGCAATTCATCGAAGAAACCTAACACGAATATTTCTGAAACATTTGATCACCTGGACAGAGAATTCCATCGATAGGATTCCTATTCGTGTGACATTATGCAACTTGGGCATACTTGTGTTCCTCCTTGCAATAATTTTACCCAAAACATTGACTTATATACTTTTGTATCCGATTTTCAGATTAGGATTTGGTACTTTATATCCCGCGTATGCCTCCTACAAAGCTGTCCGCACGCAAAATGTGAAAGAATATGTGAGTACAATTCGTTTTAATACATACAAACAATTCATTTATTATTATTTTTAATGTTACATCGACTATGACACTTGTGTAATAGAAACAATTGTTTAATCGACGCCAATATTCAATATTAACATCGTCATACTATAAAAAATAAGAACCCAATTACGCGATATAAACATAAACTTTGATAATGTGAATCAACTGCAACAACAAACAAAATTCAAATAAATCTACTTGCATTGTTCGATTATATAATTTGGGTATTAGATTATTAATTATGAATTATATTTAACTTTTGTATAATAATTGAAGCATAAAACAAATTATAATATACAAGATTACATTATCGTTAAAATAAAAGAAATATATTTGTAATTTTTGTTTAGGTCAAATGGATGATGTACTGGATCGTATTCGCTCTGTTCACTTGTGCAGAGACGTTCACTGACGTATTTTTTAGTTTTTGGTAAGAATCCAGGTCCTCTTTTCCTTAAATAGAAAACATTAGAAATAATTTTTTAATGATAAAATATCACAGGGAACTTGGACATGAAAAGAAGTAGAACTTAATTTGATTAAGTTGGACGTTTCGTCCCTTTATTCGGGACTTATTCAGCAACTTAATCATCAAAGTTCAGCGTCTTTTTTATTTAATTTCAACATACATTTCTTTTTATAATATTCTAAAACACAATACATCTAAAACTTCGTTAGTTTGGTCGTTATCATTTAAAAGCCTCAACAAAACACATTTTTTATTATAAATAATTTAGATAATAAGTTAAAAAGAAATGAAAATTAAGTAGAATTCACAATTGGGGATGAAAAATATTCCTTTTCGAAAATATTTGAAATTGTGTAAAGGCGCCAGAAAATCATAGCAGATTTTACGAGGCCAATAAACCGACAAGACCAGCATGGTTCATACTCTCAACGTACACCAGGGAATTCCGAAAGTCTAATTTCGGACTGGATAGATATTGGCTTACATGCACTTCTGAGGAATCAGCTCTAACTCTTCTCTTTCACTTCTTCCTTTTTTTTTTTTTTTTTATTTTTCTTCTTTTACCATTTGCTGCGTTCTCTCTTATTTTCTTTTTTCCTTTTCCCCATGCCAAATCTCTCTCTCTCTCTCTCTTCGTGCTCGAATTACAAATAAGAAAGAAAGAAAAGAAAAGAAGAAAAAAAAAAAAAAAAGGAAACTAAAACCGGGATATTTCTGGTGGGATTTTTAGGTTTTATAAACGTTTTTACATTTTTTCTTCCCCTTTTTTTTTTTTTTCTGTCCGCTTGAATTTTTCACTTTCTGCATTTCTCAATTTTTGTTCATATAAATAATATCCAATCTGTTTTGTGTCTTTAGTTTAAAAAAAAAATGTTGTGTGTGTGTGTGTGTGTGAAGTATTATAAAATAATTTAAATTGATATTTGTTATTATTATTATTATTATCACACGCAGGTTCCCATTTTATTATGAGATCAAGATTATTTTGGTGCTGTGGTTGTTGAGTCCAACTACTAAGGGCTCAAGTATTTTATATCGACGCTTCGTACATCCTGCATTAACACGACACGAAGCTGAAATAGACGAGGCCTTTGCACGTGCCACAGAACAAGGATACAAAGCTGTCCTACATCTAGGCACGAGGGGTGTCAATTATGCTACGACTGTGCTCATGCAAACCGCTATCAAGGTTAGCCATAAAATACAATAATTATCCTTGTAATATTCTTTTTTTTCTCTCTTTTTTTTTTTCTCTCTCTCTTATTATTATTATTGTCATTAATATTTTTTCTCATAGATTTAAAAACAAAACAAAACAAACAAAAAATAATAAGCGAGGAGATGAGCTTCGAATTGTTTTATCATTTGTATCTCGATCCATTTGCATTTTTGTTTTGTCACGTTAACACAAGATCTCAATTTTGATAAATATTTTTCTTTAAATTAACTATCAGTTTAATTGATATATTTGTGTGTTATTTGTTTAATTGAATAATCATATTTTGTATTTATGTATCGTCGTATTATATAACCACCTTTGATATTGCGAAAGTTTGAATTTTATTCATTGAAAAAAGGATTTGATAACAATATATATATATATATATATATCTGTAAAGTTATTCTAAACAAAAACGAACCTAATCTCCTCGTTTAAATTTTCTCTCAAGCACAAGCACACGCCACCGCCAATCACACATTTGTATTTGTTCATGATTTTTCTGTTTTCGTTAAACTCGCCTGCTTACCTTCGCACGCTACAAGATTGCTGATCCGATATCACCCCTAATCACGAAACAAACAAAATCTAAAATAATAATCGATCAAGCACGTCATCGAGAGACATAAAAAAAAAATAATCATCATCATCATTAATTCATAATCAAAATTAACTGCAACAAAAAATCTATCCTATATATATATATATTTTTAAGACTAATTTATATCGAACATCATTATTATTGCACATTCTCGTCACTGTTTATTAATAAAACTGCATCCTTCATAAATAATAACAATAATAATAATACTAAATTTTAATAATTTATAAACGACAATACTTCCTCTCGTATACTCGATCGATCCAAGAAAAACTAAAAAGAAAAAAGAAAAGAAAAAAAAGAATATCCAACGATATTAAAATTGAAACAAAAAATGTATATATATATATAGTATATAATATATATATATATATATATACATACATATATAAAAAAAAAAAGTATATGGAACAAGGACAGATACTTGAACAAAATAATTCCAAATTCGTAAAATGAAATCGAGCCAATGAAACAATCTGGCGAATTTTAGTTTAGCCAACAACAAGAAACAAACGTCAATGCATCGCTCTTGGATTAAAAAGTACCCATGGGGTCGAAGGACTTGAAAATATAACAAAAGAAAAGAAATAACAAGTAATCAACAACAAACAGGATTTGCAACATTGAATGCAATTTTCTCGAATGAAGATTATGACTGTTACCAATATTTCCAAAGATTAATTTGACAACGCTTCGTGCAACGAAGAGGAACTTGAAGAACTTCATGAAGAGGGATGATAATCCAGGATTACACGACCGTTGAACAAACTTTTTTCGCGTCCAACTAACCAGAAGAAAGAAAGAGAAAAATAAATAAATAAATGAAAGACAAATCAGACTGAAGAAAACAAAAGAAAACAAAAAAAAATAGGGAATGAAAACATATCGAAAATAGGGTTGCCAAACTTAAATCAAAGTGTTGTATATATTTAAATGTTTAAATAAATCCTATAATAGTCAATACGAAAATTTGATTAGCAACAATAGCAACTATATTGTTGATAACAAAACTTGTACTATTTTTATTTTTAATTTCATTTGTATAAACTCTTCATCGTTCACTGTTACAAGCATTATATGCTTTTTCAGTGTTTCAAAAGGTTTATGTGTTGATTTAAGTATACCTCAAAATTAAAAAGATATTACTAAATAATAATAATGATAATTATAATGATAATTCGAATAAATAAATTAACGACACTCCTCATATAAATTATTCATCTAATTAATCCGATATTAATCATTTTCCTTTTTTTTTAAATATATATTTTAAAGAGATAATATATATTAAATATATTAAACAGGAGACACACATAAATCGATGGTGTTTGAAAGAGTATATGAATTATATATTGAAATGAATTTTTATATTTTCATCACATAAAATAATTTTCTTTTTTTACATTTTATATCGTTGGATCTTTTAGATCAATGAAGTATTATACGAGGAGTGTGTTTATTATATTATCTTTAGTTTTTAATTTGTTTAATCTTCAATGCTTTATTCCTATTTAATATTTTACGACGACAAAAAAAAAATCAAATAACGTATCTAATTTTTTTTACAGATTTATCTTTGTATAACAAAACATTTAGACTGTTCTACGTGCCAATAATTTTATTTCGGCATTGTATGCGTTTAAAAAAAAAGAAAAAAAGAAAAAGGAAAAATAATAATAATAATAAGATAGTTGAATAAAGAGCGCAATAATTGTTATGTGTTACGCTTTTTATAAATACTCTTATTTATCTATCTCTACTCTTATTATCTAATGTACGATAAAATAAATACGAAAGTTACCGATTATATACATACACATGTATTTTGTGTGTATATAAAAACCAATGTTTTAAGTCTGAGATTTAATGTAACTCGTTACAATGCGCACAACCAGATTTTATGATTATTTGTTCTTCTGTTCTTCGAAACACAATGAACGTAACATGCGTATATATATATATATGTATGTATGTTACACAATCAAGATGCTGTATATCACTAATCGCAAACACGGATTTACATTAGTATTAGTTACATAAGTTGTGAGTAATTTTTTATCTTTATTTTTTATTATTCTACTTTTTTTTTTTTTCTTCTTTTTGTAGAAAAACAAAAGATCGCGTATGATTCGACAATTTGTTCTTAATTTTCTTCTAGTTTGTAATAATTATTATACAAACTGCGTGTTTACGTTTAGTATAATTATTTTTGTTTGTATACCATAATACTTAAGAAGTATCACACTTTTCCTATCATGTAAGACTTTTGTTTTCAATATGCAAACCCAAAGATGAAAATATTGAATCATTTTTATTAAATTTTTAATCACAATTTTTTCCTGCGAAAATAAAAAGCATTTTTTTTAATAACAACAAATCTTTTACTCGCTCTTTCCTTTATTTATCTCTTTCTTACTTTTTCTCTCTCGCTCTCTCTTTCTTCTCACAGCGCACATGCTTTTTCTATTTCTATCCTATTTTTATTTCACCTTTTATATAATTTTAATTAATACTTGCCATAAATATATATATGTATATGTACTCCAATATTTGCAATTGGCAATTGTTCACTAAAGCGTTTTTTAATAATACTGACTTTTGACTGGCTGATGATTTTTAACGATAATAGAAACGAACAAAAATAATAAATAATTCATTTTAACATGAATATCATAAATGTTAACGCAAAGATGTTAATCTATCATCACATGGATGCATTGAAGCTTTTTAGCGAGCTATGGATATAAAGAAACGAACAAGAGATGAATTTTCTTAACGTTGCTCATCCTCAAAGACAGACAAAAAAAAAACAAAAAAAAAAGACAAAAATAATTTAAAAACCCCCAAAAAACAAAAAATAAAACATTGTTGGACACTTTACTACCTTCGCACTGGTGATGGTCCAGATAACACATTAACATCCTTTCTTGGTTGGTAAGATTTGAATTTTTTTTGTTGCCATTTCTCTTTCCTTTCTCTCTTCGCTCTCTTTCTTTCTTTCATTCTTTCATTCTCTTTTATTTTCTTAATCATTACATTTTATATAAAAAAAAGAAAAAGAAATTCATCAGTGTCCATTCACGAACCTTTTTCTGTTTTGTAAAACGATGATTATATTTTTTCAGGGGGGCGGTGGATTAGTTCAACAATTGAGGAAGAGCTATAGTTTGAGTGATTTGACTGGTGGAAACAATATCGAAAATAGAAGTTTACCAGAACCGCAAGACGAGACTGACATGGAAGGTTGTTTTTATATTTTATATCTGTACTTAGTTTAATATGCATTGACTCTGTGCTGCTGCTTTATAAATGATATTATATATAAAATAATTTTAAAAATATGGCCTGCTGCAATAGTGTCAATGTGTTAATTGTTATTGATAAAGTTATGTTTGAGTTGTATATTTAATATGATTGATAATTCTTAGAGGAACCTCGCCGAAGAGAACACGTAGGAAGAAGAGGATACAGTCCACGTAGGACTCAATCCAGTACCAATAGAGTAGAAATGTACTTTTCTGAAGTAGATGTCGATATGATCCAGCCAAGACCTAGAGAACCAATAGCTAGTTTAACGTATGTAAATTTATATTACATATATTTAATAAACATAGAAGATTCACATAAAAGATTTCTCTATGCAAATCATTCTACAAGACAATGATAATATTAATTTATTAATTTTTGATGATAAAGGTTAATAGGGAACTTGGACATGAAAAGAAGTAGAACTTACTTTAATTAAATTAATATTAAATAGAACTCAATCAAATTAAGTTCTTCTTCTTTTCATGTCCAAGTTCCCTATAAAATTTTATCATTAAAAAATTATAATTTTGGACGAGAGAAAATACTAAATAAATTAAATAGAAATTAATTAATTAAATTAAGTTCTACTTCTTTTCATGTCCAAGTTCCCTATGAACCTTTATCATCAAAAATTATAATTTTGGACGAGAGAAAATACTAAATTAATTAATAATATTTCAGTAATATCAGGTCCTCCGATGATATATCCAGCGGATACAGTAGTGGCGAAGCACTGCAATCTCATCGAATAGCATCCCAAGGTGATGCTTTAGTTAGAACATCGAGTGTAGGAGCTAGGACACGTGCGAAGCCACGCTCGACAGCAAAAAAGACACCAGAGGTTGGTATTTCGAATAATCCATAAAAAAACATTTGGAACATTTATTAGAAAAATATTGGAAATATGTCATGAAAACTTTGTTCACGTTACTTACTTGTCGTCCGATTTGTTTTAACACTCTGTCATAACTCTATGACACTGTGTTTCATCATTTTCTCATCATACGATCAGAAGAACTTGAACAATTTAATTCTACTCAACGATTATGATATTTGAAGGATGCTGGAGAGGAATTCGAGTACGACGACCTTCTTCCATCGCCATTAACCCTCCTCACTCCTGATCAACTTCATCAACTTTTGTTAATCCTGAATAAGAACGATGATCATCGAAAAATTAGTAAGTCTGATAACAACGAACAGTTATTAGATAATTTCAATGAAAGAGAAAAATCTAAATCATCATCATCATCATCATCTGAAGAGTCTGAGGTTTGGTTCGTACCGAATTTATTATCAGAGACTGATGAAGTCATCGATAAACAACCTCAGACTGAACTTTCGGAAATAGATAAGAACAACTTGGAGGATTGTCAGAGATCAAGTGAAATCTTAACAAAACCATCGAACGAAGAATCAGATCTTTCACAAAAAGATATGGAAAATAAGGAGAATAATGAAAAGAACCAAGTTATTATAAATTCTTTTCAAACAACTGACGCCAATGTGGATATCAATAAAATCATGGATGAAATTTGTAGAGAGAAACTAGACGAATTGAAAGAACTTTTGAATAATGCACACAAGACCGTCACGAAGAAGATAGTATCATCAGAGGAAAAATTAAATCAAATTGATAAATTTATCTCAGACAAAGCAGAATCTTTAGGAAATTTAGAAAATATTGATTCCTTAAAAATATGGCCAACGACAAATGTAACTCGAAGTAACTCGGATTGCAATGATCGTGCTGGTAAATATAACAAGAAGCTGGCACCCAAAGCACCTATTTTAACTCAAGACGATGTCCTCTCAGATAGCACTGAATCTCAAAATGCATTGAAAGCAACCCTGGTAATAAAAACTGGCATGATGAAGACCTTCTCAACTGTTAACAATGCCAAAGACGTTTTTATAGCTCATGCATCTCAAACAAAAAATAAAAAAAAGAAACGAAACAAGGAAGGTATCACCAAACTATTAGCTATACCAAAAAATATATTTCACAGCACCTTTCACAAAACTTCAACCGGTTCGAATAAAGACGAAGACTCCAGTTCATCTGTTTCTGAATATAGCTCCAGATCAAGATCTGTCAGCGTTGGATCTCAAGATATTACTACAACCAAGATTGATAACTATCAAAATGATATCAATGAGATTTCAAGTAATCTTGATAACAACAAAGTGGATGAAAATGATTTTAAAAAAGATTCTACTTCCAATAACTGTAATCAGGATACTTCGTCTGATAAAATGAAAAATACTGATGCAAAAGTGACTTCAATTAAACGTATATTGATACCACAAATGTCACGATCACCTGGTGCCTCAAGGAAAGTTTACTTTAATGAAGATGCTATCTAAAAAATAAAACAAGAGAAAAAGAACAAATATAGATCCTTAATCCTATCCTATTTTTGTTGACTCTACAATCACTTTAGAGTACTCTGGAACATGGCAAGAACGAAGGGTTGGTCCAATGTAATTGTATGAAAGATTTCAGCAAATTTCATAACATATAACTAATGTTTGTGTGTTATGTAAATTTAACACATAAAACACATTAACGTGTCCTACATTTACGTTGCATGTCGATCATTTTTTTCTAAAAATTTGTGTGCAGTTAATCCATTGAAAAAAAAAAAGAAAGAACAAAATGTTAAATAGATAACAGAATGATGGTCATGCGTTGCTACACAATTTACACACGAATTATTAATTAAAAATTAATAATATAATATTTATATGTTTTTTCTATTTAGATATATATTTAATATTTGTATTAATCGACAATCTAATTAATCAAATTATTTCTTCCTTTTTCTTTTTTTTTTTCAGATAACAAGTTTCGCTACTCTACCTCGCAGCAAGAAAAACAACAAGAAGAAAGTAGCATGAAATTTACCAGCTGCTGACCGTATAAAAGAATAAAGAAAAAAGATAAATCATTGAAACAACGGATATTAAGAATAAAAGGAAACAAAACAAAACAAAAGAAAAATCAGAAAAAAAAAAAGAAAAGAAAATTTCGAATAAAATTGTAATCCATTTAAAGAAAGAAAATATTCTGTCGAATATTCAAATATTCACATTGCATAATGTAAATGCGTGCACATGCATGCACAACAACTGCGATATGGTCAGCAGCAAATATTGATCAAATGAGTTAGACACATCTCTTGTATAACTTATTAATAATGGTGTCTTTAGTACATTAGCGCTACTTCGAATGTGATTTATAATTCTTTTTTTATTATTATTATTTTTATCATTTTGTTAAAAGAATCGACGAATGAATCGATGAGCATGATTATTTTCTTGCTTGACCGAGGAAGAAGAAAGCAAGAAGAGAAAGAAGATAGCGAAACAAAGATATTAATAGCAAAGGAATGGCTTAACGATGATCTATCGTATGGCATTGTTGCTCACGGTCACCCATATGAAAAACAAAAAAAAAGAAAATTAAACTACTCGTATATTTTAAAGAAAATGTTCATTCTATATAAATTTTAAGCGTTAATTGATTTTGCTTTACGATTTAGTGTATACCCACGACGATACTTAATTAACTTGCTTTGGATGAACGAAAAATAAAAAAAAATTTTCTCTCTTGTCATTGTACTTAAAAAAAGAAAAATTAATGAAGGGAAAAAAAGAGAACAAATTAGAACGTTCATCGCGTGTACCTTGCATGCCTCTCTGATAATACAATAATAATATTAATAATAATAATAATAATAATAAAAATAACAATAGTTAGCAGCTCTAAACTACTTGTCTAGTTTTTTGCAACATGTATTAATACTTCTACTATTACTACTACTGCTACTACTACTACACTACTACTGCTACTATTACTACTACAGTCTTAAAGACTACTAGATTATGGTAACAGCCATGACAAAATGATATCATAAAAAAAAGAAAATAGTGAACGAATTTAAAATACAATTTTAAAATATCATCATACACACACACATGTGCAGAGACAGATTGACTGACTGTAAATCGTAGAAAATGTTAGTTAAATGATTCTAGTCAGGAGGGAATGATTGATATTCAGAAATAAAAGAAAAAGAAATGAAAAAGATAAAGAGAGCGAAAGAGAGCGAGATACTGAAATCGTGCCACTTTGATTACTTTGATAATTATTTTAAATAACAACATTCTTCGTATTAAGTATCCTGTTTGTGACTCGCTAAACGATGTTAACGAAATACGCACAAGTGCTACGACTAACTTCGAACTATGAAAATAAATAAAAAACCAAAAAAAAAAGAGAAAAAGGAAAATTAAGAGTAAAAAGAAAAAAGAAAAAAAAAGAAACTGAAAAAGATATATAATAATTATTAATCCTCTACAAAGCCATATGTGTAAATTACGTGATCATGTAAATCTATACTTTAAAAAGTTTTTTCGTTTCATCTTTTTTATTGCCTTAAAGTTTCATTGTTGTCTCATATCAGAAATTTAACGTGATTTTTTTTAAATATGAGTTATATAATTAGTATAGTATAATTATATGGAGGACATTAATATATTACTATTATTATTATAACAATTACTATACTATTATTACAAATAATATACTAATTTATGTATTACTTGTAGTAATATATTAATATTTAAACTAGTACAAGAATAATACTAACTAGTATTCACTGCGATATTAATAATAATGTTCTAATAATAATAATAGTATACAGGAAGTATATATACTATTAATAATACTAGTATACTAAAAAAGAAGGAACAGAAATATTAGTACTTATACTATACTAACATAAGTATCATTATAATTATACTATACTATTATACTTAGTATATTATACTAATATAATATTAAATATTTACAAATTTATTATCAAACGAAATTTATATTTTTATTTTACTAATACTTAGCTAAAACAACAATTATATTTTAACTATTATATTATTCAGAGTGTACTAGTGTTTTATTTCAAGAAAATTTTACCAGCATGTTTTATAAGTAAAATATTAAAAAAAAAAAAAATATTATAGAAACGTGAGCTCTTAAATATGAAAAAAAAACATTTTTATTTAAACATAAAACATATATTGGCTTTTAGAGGATTAACAAAAGTTAAAGAATTCATAAATGTTGTTTTTTTTTGCACATTATTATTATGTTCATATTTCCTTTTATCACGAAATTCAATATCCAAACGTTAATCAATTTCTTATTTAAAAATATTAACCATGATCATATATATATATATACACACATATAATTGTTTTTATCGAGTACATTTATATACAGTAAAATTCATGATATAAATCAATGCAGAGAGAGTAGCCATTGTATTGATGGAATGAGCAAATGCAGTAAATGTGATTAATTTAGCTCCTCCTCCTCCTCAAAGGCACGCATTTGTGATATAGAATTTTATGAGCATAATAAGGAGAATATTAGATATTAAATGAATATTTTACTTTTATTAATATATTTGATTTATATCATATACCTTTTTATTTATTTATTTATTTATTATTTTTTTTTTTTCATTTTACTTTTTCGAATACAAAAGAATACCATATTGAAATTTAATCATTTCCTGCATTTCTTCTGTTCCATTAATTAAATATCTTAATTTCATTTTAA